AGCTCCAGCCCCATTTCCCAGCAGATCGATGCACCGTGGCAAGTGTTGGAACTGAACTACAACTTGACACCTTCATGAACGCCTGCTACTTTGGCCACTAACTTAATCATGAAGAGAATTTCCACATAAACCTGACGCACCGATTTCCTCCTTGGAAATAAATGGTCCGATGTACTGCCTTTGGGCAGTTGCATTGGATTCACCCATCCATAGCCTTATTGCCTAAGGGAGCAGCTAGCCTAGCACCAGAAATATTGTCGTAGCATTTCCTTTCCCCAAAAAGTGTTGTTGTAAAGCCTTAAATTAGTTAGACAATTAAAATGAACTTTAAAATGCAGTATTCCAGCCCTCTTGCCCTGCTAAATTTGTCGAGGCAGCTGAATAGAGGTAGACTGTTTCTGCAACAGCTAGGGAGATTCACTTGGATGCTGCAGGTGAAGGCTTTTTGCCTAACTGAGGTCAATAGCAGCCCTCCCCAGCTTGGGCACAGAAGAGTTTTCAACAGATAATATAGAGAGGAGGAAGGAGGAGCTCTGCTGGTGTTTTACATTCCATTTTTCTGGACAAGACTCCTGTGCATCCAGGAACCAAGTAGCTCATGTCATGTCACGCAGAAACAGATGGAGTAAAGTCATCAAAGGAAAGACGGTCACTTAGCTTGAGGGCAAAGACTGATTCTGGTCAAGTCAGAAGAAACTTGCACAAATTCATCCATTAATTATCCATTTCTCTATTAGCTGAATGAGAAAATGAAAACAAAGTTTTATCTGAATTTTTATTTTTTTCCTCCTTTCTTAAACCCCATGGGGGAAAAAGAAAAAGAAAGAAAAAAAGCAGACTGCTAGCTGCAATTTTAGTATCTTCACTACCCTTTATGCCAACACACCAGGAACAGTCATCCTGATATTTCTCCCCTCTACTCGCATTTAAAACTATAAAAGGCACAACAATGCTGGCATACGGACTTCAGTCTATATGCCAAAACTAATTGGTAGATTGTATTAAAAAAAGAAAACAGACTGCACTGCACAAAAAGGAATAACCTTAAACCTAGGCAATTATTTTTCAAAATATACAAATAATCACAGATGTTAAATTCAGACTACCTCCAAACTTAAGACAATAATAAAGCTTTTATTCTTTTACACAGTTGGTAAGAAGACCATAAAGACAAGAAGAACAAAATGTATGTGTTGTTAACGGAAATAATTTGAAGTACATTACTGTACTTTGCAGTTCTCAGTTTCTAGCACGCACTGCTTCGTTAAG